CCAGGGCCGGTGGATGGCGACGGGGGCAGGTCTGGGAGCGCGGCTGGGGCCAGACAGACCGATGGCGTCTGGCCTTTGACCGCCCCTTTGCGGGTGGGGCACATTCAGGGAGCAGAACTTTGGAGGGGTATCGCCTGTGGGAATCCCCCATCATGCTCCGCTCTGCTCCAGGAGGATGGGCTCGGACAGGAAGGGCTGCGTGGCTTGGCTTGTGGCTTAAGACACTGGGCTGGGACCCAGGAGATTTTGATTTCAATGCTCAGCCCTGCTACAGACTCCCCTGTGTGAGTCACTTCATCAGAGAATGAGCCCTTCCCTGCCTCACAGGGCTGCTGGGAAGATAAATATTTTCATGGGGCTCAGAACCCATAAGGAGTGGGGCTGGATAAGAACCTTGCTAGGAGAGGGAGGAAGTGGTATTTTTCTATCAGCCCTGCTCCCCTCTCCCCGTGCAACGGAATTGGAAGGAGGGGGCTGGGACAGAGCCATGACAGAGTCCATCTTGCTGCTGCGACGAACAAGAAGCAGCCGCCGGTATCCAAGGGACGCAGATGAACTTTCAGTCACAATAATTTGGCGTCTCATGAGTGTGGCCGTCAGAGATCCTCCACAGAATAAGGCTGGCTGGAAACCACGTATGAACTGCCATAGGCACAAGCAAGGTCGATGTCTGCCTAGTAGGGGGCTGTGATGGACACGTGCTCCACACACCGCTTGTGTGTACACATGCTGTCTACCCAGGCACAAACAGCACTCATGCAGACAACACTTGAACACACAAATTTACATGTGATGGCTACTATCTTGGCCAACATACCGAGGACTGAACAGGGAACTTTGTGAGTTTCTACAATTTAAGCTAAAGAGCCAAGCTCTCGGGCTGAGAGCTCTAAGAGACGCACACCCTCTGGGTTGGGCGCAGAGGGAGAATTCATAACACACATGCACACACAAGACCACGTGCAGGTACAGCTACATGTGCATCATCGCACCTCTGCTATTCAGCGACTGCATTTCTACCTGTGCTTGTTCGTTCTACTTGTCTCCACTGCTAACCTTCAACTGGGGCGTCTTCCCTTTCAGCTAGTCATGAGGTTATTCATCATTTCCTGTCCAAGTGTTGTGCAAGCAGTGCTGTGTCCCACTTCAGTAATGGGGGAAGTGAGTCCCGTATAACTTGTCAAGTATTTGGAGATTTAGAGAAATATAAATGGGTGGCCTGCAAGCTGCAGTCCATTGATGTACGGTAAGATCACAGGAAACTGTCACAAGATTTAGGGCCCGAGTTAGATCTTAGTTATGCTTGCTGTAAATCTGGAGTAACGCCGTTGAATTTACACTTGGGCCTGGCTCTCAGTAACTCTGATGAAGTCAGTGGAATCCCACCAGTATCAGATTGGCGTGAGAAGAGAATTGTGCCCAGAACCTAGCATGTAATGTACACCATGGCTGAGGTCGCTGGCGGTCTCAGCCCTTTGGCTTTTATGTGAGGCTTTAAATTCTCGTTGCCGTAGGAAAAGGAAGAAAAGCCCTTTTACGTTCCGGGACATTCTGTAATTTCCTCCCGAGATGGTGAAATTCCATCTTGGGCAGGGCAAAACTTCCTTCTCCTTTCCGTGTACTTCTAGCTAGGAACTTTCCATGCATGTTGGGCTCCTACTGTCTAGTCACCAAAGATCCAGGACGCTCAGCAGAAAGATGAGCCTGAGGATTCTCTTTCTCTTAGCTGGTATGTTTTCTTCCCCTCTATTTAAACTGTATTGGAAGCTTTCCCTCTGAGTGTTCTTCTAGGACGAGGGACCTGAAGAAGCTCATGCTGTATCGTATGTCTGAGGCCAGTTATAGATGGGAGGTGAGGGGAATAAGTGACCAATGATTTGGTAACTGTAGGGCATGGGGGCTGGGCTTTATCTCCAGAAGGGATTTCAGCAGGAAAATGGAGGGAGCTGTCAATGCAGCGGAGTCACGTTTACACCCATTTGAGCCTTTGGGTCAAATTTGTCCCTGGCATAAACTTTGGAGGGCTCCAGCCCCAGCCAAACGTCTACACTGCAATTGTTAGCCCTGCAGCCCAGCCCCGGCGCCACAGGGGTTTTATTGCAGTGGGGACGTGCCCTCTGAGGCCTCTTTCGGAGAGCTGTGGATCAACTCCTGGGTGTTTCCTGAAGCTGGCGCTGCTGTGCTTCCCTGTGTCCCCAGGGGCAGGCAGGGCAGAAGCTGGCATTGCCACAGCCCATGCTGTCCCCAGTGGGCAGGACAGGAGCCCGTCCTGTGGTGTGCAGGAAGCTGCCAGTCTATGGGCACCTTGCATCATCACTTCGCTCCATCTTCCCCTGGCTATTCCAGGCTCGTTGGCAGGTCCCAGCCTAACTCCCGCCCCACTTTTTTACTTGGACGTGTCTTCCGACCCCCCTGCCCGAGGAGACTCCGCCCGGCTCGTCTGCATCGCGCCGAGAGCCTACGTGGAGAGCGAGTTCTGGTTGCTGAAGATGGACCTGGCTCAGCCTGTACAGACGCTGTTTGCCTCGGAGGCCCAGCACCAAGTCACCTTCATCCTGGGGAACGTCACCGGGAAGGACGCCGGGCAGTACCGGTGCCGGTACCGCCGCTACAACGAGAGTGCCTGGCAGATGTCAAAGTTCAGCAATGTGGTGGAGATTGCGATGGCAGGTAAAGGGCTTTTAGATCCGAAGGAAACTGGCTGAGCTGAGGAGAGAGCGGGGGAGTGTGGGCAAGTGTAGTGCAGTTCTTCCCCCCTCCCCCCCGAGCTCTGCCGGTGCCCCTCCGTCCTGAGCCAGCCCTGGGCTCCCTCGACCTCCCCCAGCTCCGTTGATGCCTCTCAGCCCTCCAGTGCTCTTCCAGTCCTACTCTGCTGGGGCGAAAGGTTGGTGCACCAAGCCAGCTAGTCCAACTCAAAGCTGCTGCCTGAGGCTGAGCTGAAGAGTTTGTGAGGCAGGTCAGGTGCCTTCCTAGTGGTGAGAGCAGGGAGCTGCATGGTGAAAGGTACCAAGGGCGGCTTGGGTGTCAGACTTCTGGGCTCTGATCCTGGTTCTGGGAGAGATTTTGGTTTCGCTAGCGCATGAGGCTGAGATAGGACTCCTGGGTTTCCTTCCCAGTACTGGGTGGGAGTGGGGCCTCATGGGTCAAACAGGAGGGCTGGGCGTGGGTCCCGTCCTGGCTGGAGGAGGGAGTGGGGTCTAGTCTTCAGAGCAGGGTGTGGGTCGGCAGGACTCCTGGGGCCTGATCTTGACTCTGCAAACCGGTGTGAATAAAGCAACTTTTCAAACTGTCTCCTCCTTTCTTTTCCATTGAAAATCTGTCAACATCCCCTCCCCCAGCAACTCCGACTGCCCCTCCCCCAGCTTCCACGGCTGCTCCAGAAGGTAAGGGCAAGGACAGAAAGAGGCAGGGAATCTGCCAGGGCTTGGGAAACAAGACTACAGCCCCGAGTCGGGGTTGGGGGGAGAACCATGGGGAAGGCCATGGCTATGACGGAGATTGGGGGGTGCTCACCCTGTTCCAAAGCTGCCCAGTTGCGGATACAGTCTGGTGCTCGGAGTGGGGAGGGCTGTGTGGGGTCCCTTTGGTATCTGAATAGGGCCAGGTAACGCCAGCTGTTTCTCTGCATTGTCCAGGTTCCCCGTGGCTGCTCCCTGTGACCCTCAGCGTGGCTGGAGCTTTGCTTCTGACCGTGGGCCTAGTGGTAGCAGTTGTGGCAGTCAGGCGAGGTACGAGGAAGGCAGAAGCTGGGTCCTGGGCTGCCTGTGATCAGCTGTAGAGGCCACCTATAGCTCGGCTGGTGTGGCAGGGTGTTGTTATACCGCAGGGGACTGGGACTCAGGACTCCTGGGTCCTGATCCTGGCTTTGCCACTGGGTGTGTCCTGGCCAAGTCATTGATGACAGTAATTTTCCAAAGGGTCCACTAGCCAACTAGACCCCCCCCAGGCTGATACACAGAATTGCTGAGAACCCACCACTCCCATTCATCTCAACTGGAGACATGGGAGCTGAGCAGCTCTCTCTCTCTCTCTCTCTCTCTCTCTCTCTCTATCCCCATTCACCCTCTATCTATCTATCCCCATACACCCTGTGACGTTGCACTTCATATGATTTTATGAAAATATGCTAATAAGTGTGACTATAATGTAACTGGAATATGCTTCATGCAAAAGGTCTCTTGTAAGGTATCATTACAAAGCTTATAATCTACTGCGTGTGTTCATCCTATTTGTATGTATGTATCATTCTTGTATCTGAAACTAGAAATATGAAATATAACTCTGAAGTCCTATTGTAATTATGCAAAGTGGGGGCCATTAATGGTGGTTTGGAATCTTGATGGCTCCCGTTAGCCAGGACAATTGACTGTAGATCGCTCTGTTTACTTGCAAGCCTTCCTGTGAGTCAGGCCGGGAAGAATGAAGGCTTGGGGTCTCCCAGGACATGTGACCATGTCACCTGGTACTGGAATCCATCTTAAACCTGGTGCTTTTCCATTTAGAAGGAGGGGTGGGGACCCAGAGAGACAAAAGATTTTCGTCTTGTGCCAAAGCTATAAAAGGGGGTGGAACAGAACAAAGGGGGCTGTAGTCATGAGAAATCCCCTAGCTACCACCTGAGCTGGAACAAGGACTGTACCGGGGAAAGGATTGGGCCCAGACTAGAAAAGCATCTAGTCTGTGAAAGAAGCTTATTGGAACATCTCTGAGGGTGAGATTTCATCTGTATTCAGTTTCCTACTGTATCAGGCTTAGACTTGCGTGTTTTGTTTTATTTTGTTTGGTGACTTACTTTGTTCTGTGTGTTATTACTTGGAACCACTTAAATCCTACTTTTTATACTTAATAAAATCACTTTTTGCCTATTAATTGACCCAGAGTAAGTAATTAATACCTGGGGGAGCAAACAGCTGTGCATCTCTCTCTATCAGTGTTATAGAGGGCGGACAATTGATGAGTTTACCCTGCATAAGCTTTATACCGAGTACAACGGATTTATTTGGGGTTTGGACCCCATTGGGAACTGGGTATCTGGGTGCTGGAGACAGGAGCACTTTCTAAGCCGTTTTCAGTTAAGTCTGCAGCTTGTTGGGGACGTGGTTCAGACCTGGGTCTGTGTTTGCAGCAGGCTGGCGTGTCTGGCTCAACAAGGCAGGGTGCTGAAGTCCCAAGCTGCCAGGGAAAACGGGCTCAGAGGTAGTCTCAGCACATCAGGTGACAATCCCAAGGGGGTCTCTGTGACCCAACCCGTCACACACCCATCTATCTATCTATCTATCTATCTTACCCCCAGCATTGCTTTTATGACACCATAACATCTGTTTCCTTTTTACCAGTTAACGCCAGAAGACAACAGCTGAAAAGGTGAGAGACGCTCGGGAAATCTAATGTCACTTGGTGACAGTGGCTCATGTGGCCTAAGGAGAAACTCTCCCCACTTTCAAAAATCATTAAGGAGCATAATTCTCATTGGCTTTCAATGGGATTTAGGTGCCAGAGTGCCCAGATCCCTTCTGAAAATTAGATTTGGGGTCCTAAGTCACTTGGATGCTTTTGAAAATGTCTCCTGAGGCCGGGAGGGGCTGGAGCAGGGCAAAGTGTCCTCGTTAGTTATGGATCTCACTGTGTCTGCTTTGCAGGGATCGGGAATCGTGCTGGACAGAAAGGAACTTTCCCACAACAGGTCTGTGTTAGAGTCAAATACCAAGTGCTTGTGAGGTCAGGGCGACCCCGAGGCGGCCTTGACAGCTGCCAGGAGGAGGCTGCGGGTGACGTGTCTGGAGGTGGAAGGACCGGGAGCCAGGACTCCTGGCTCTGCGAAGGCTTGTGGTCTGCTGGTTCAGTCACTGGGACCTGGCAGCATAGGCTCCTGGGTTCACTAACTTGCAAATGAAGTAAGTCAACCTCTCCAAGCCTCAGCAGCATTTCCTGGCAGGTCCTGTCCTCTCCTGCTGGGGGGCATTGCTGTGCACTGGGAAATAGTTGCCATGTTCCACCCCAGAGGCAGTTGACATTGGCAGTCGGCAAAGCGATCCCTTTGGGGTGAGAGGGGCTGCAGGTCTGCGAGGCCTAGCCCCAGTAACGTCACTCCTCTCTCCTTTTGCAGACATGTCGTTCGATAACGGGCTGTTCACCGTCTCAGTGGTAAGTCATCGCCCGAGGGCTTTGCGGAGAGGGCGTGAGCTGCCATGGGGCACACGGGCTGTTCTCAAGCTGGGCGCGGCTGCTGGGTCCATGGGCGAGTATTTCCCAGGCCAGCAGCTGCCAGGCAGCCCCCTAGTCAGGGGCTGAGCTTGCATTGCAGTGGCATGACGCCGCCGTCTCACCTGGAGGGTGCAGTTTGCAAAGGGTTAATGGTTGATTCCCCCCCCCCCCCCCCCCCAAGCTGGGCCCCCCCATAGATCCTTACTTTATCCTCTCTCCCTGTCTCTCCCCCCACCTTCCATTTGGCAAGAAAATGGACCTGGAAGCCACAGGCAGCCAAGATGCCTGCATCTCCCCAGGCTCCAGGAAAAGCCTCCGCTCCGCTTCCTCTCTAGGAACCAACAGCTTCAGCACATTCAAGTCCTTGCAATGAGGGCCCGGGTGGAGGCCGGCCCCGGATGCTCCAGCTAGCGACCCCCTGGTCCCAGCCCCGGCCCTTTCCTTAGTCCTTCCTTGGGCTCGGAGTCTCCCCCAGAACGAGGCATCTGCCAGAGGGGCCATTACCGGGGTGCGAGAGGAGAATGAGCTTCAGTTAAGCCTCGTGCCTTGCTGTGCGCCTCCAGGATCACGTGACATGGACACCATGAAAAGACGCCCAGAATCTAGTCTACCTCCCGCACCGTGAGCAGCGTCACTGGCTCAGCCCTGGCAGCTGACTCGATCCCTGGGGCAGACGCTGGAAGCAGGAAGAGCCCAGCTGGGGTTGCATATCTTTGGGGCAGGATTCGTGTGGCTGGCAGTGGATTCTTCCACCGTAGCCAGAACGACATTCACACCAGCCAGCCAACCCTTTCCACCCCTCCACAATCCCCTTCCTCCAAGCAGGGCTTCCCCAGGATGACCTGAGATGGGGGGAGAGCCAAAGACTCCATAAAGTCCACTGCCGTGAAGGCTGTCGTCAGACTATCGTATACGGAAGGTGCTCCTGGATTGCAGTGATGAGCAGCAGCTGTAAACCTGAGATGGACAGAGGATGCACATAGGGATGGATAGATAGAGGGGTGTGTCTGGGGGTGGATGGTGGTGGATGGACGGGTGTGTCTGGGGACGGATAGATGGATGGGTGGGGGTGGGAGTGGGGATGGATGGATGGATATGCGGCTGTGTCTGGGAATGGACAGTTGGATTTGCACACCAAACACATTTCATCTGGAATCACCGAGAGAGAACGAGCGTGGAAGCCCCAAAGGAACTGCTTTCCCGCCTAACTCCCCCCAACTCTAACTCCCTTGTCTTCTGCCTGTGACTTTCACTGAGGGGCTTTGCAGAATGTTTATACGTTTGCTTTTTGTTTCTGTAGGAAGTGAGTGTGGTCTAGCGATTAGACCAGGGAGCCAGGACTCCTGGGTTCTATACCCAGCTTGCGATGTGACCTTAGGAAAGTCTCTTCCCCTCTCTGTGACTTAGTTTCCCTATCTGTAAGAGGGATGATAATGACCCCCCCCCCCCAGGATTGTTTCCCAGGCTCTTTGAAGATATTAAGCACTAAGTGTTACAGTGTCTCCAGCTGCCACTGGAAACTGTAAGGTCATTTTCTGATTCAATAAAGATGTAAATTTGTTGTTGGGCGAGGCGTGAACTGTTCTGGAGAATTCTCTGTCTCCTTGTTGGTGAGCTGGAGAATGTGTCTTGTCACTACTGCCCTCTCCTGGATGGAATCAGAGCTGTTTGGCTGGGTGTCACAAGCCCTATACTGCTAACAACAAGTGGTGATCTTCTTTTCACTCAGGCAGGATGAGATGATGCATTTGGGACAGAAGGAACTGGGTTTTCACGGTCTGCCGCAGCACGCAGCGTGGCAAGGGCTGTGAAGGGTCGTGCTCCAGAGCCCAAGGTTTAGTTCTTTAAAATCAAATCTCTCTCGCCCTTCACAGTGTGAGCCGCAGCAATGGTGTGTACCTGAGTCTGCAGGCAGCCTGAACCCTGCCTCTGAGAGCGGTGAACTGGCCTGTTCACAGACTCATAGAAACGGGGGGCTGGCAGGGACCTCGAGAGGTCGCCTAGTCCAGCCCCCGGCGCTGAGGCAGGACCAAGTAAACATAGACCAGCCCGGACAGGGGTTTGTCCGACCTGTTCTTAAAAACCCACCAATGAGGGGGATTCTCCAGCCTCCCTTGGCAGCCTGTTCCAGAGCGTCACTCCCCTGAGCGTTAGAAGGGTTTTCCTGGCCTCTAATCTCGATTTCCGGTGCTGCAGGTTAAGCCGATTCCCCTCGGGGCCCACGGAGAACAGCTGATCCCTGTTCTCCTGACACTAGCTGCAGATACCTGGGCAGGCTAATCATCCCTATGGCTGTTGACTCTGGAGCCTAATGACCACGGTTTGATGTCTGCACTTTTGACTCTCGTGCTCCTGGTGGCCTGTGCTCCCGGTGCCAGCCCCCTGCCTGGCCCCCTGCCTGGCCCGTGAAGCTCTGCAGCCATCACCCAAGGTGGGGGGGCATAGGGGGAGTCCTGCC